ATATGTTGAACATACTGGCCAAGTGATTCATTTATATATTCGCGCTTTATATGTTGAACATACTGCCAGGCTCTCTCTTTCTCTCTCTCTCTCTCTCTCTCTCTCTCTCTCTCTCTCTCTCTCTCTCTCTCTCTCTCTCTCTCTCTCTCTCTCTCTCCCTCTCTCTGACTGTCTCTCCCTCGCTCTCGCTCTTTGCATAATATTAGCACCAAGTACATATACAGTCAGTCGACATACTACGCAAATCATTGCTGAGTTACACACAAAATTGGAAACAATCCTAAAGTTTCGTTCGCACACCAATTCTTCGAATGTCTGAATAATTCGAGTTTGCTTTGATGCTCACAAAAAACCTTCCAACAGTCAGCATACGTTAGATAACACTATAACACACAATCTAGCACCGGCAACATATCGGTAATGCTAGAAAACACCAGCAGATTTATACCGTGCGTGCGCGCGTGCGTGCGTACGCGAGCGCGTGTACGTATGGAATCTACTGTAATATTATACAACAGAACATGCTAACTACAAAACACGTTTTATGGGTTAGCGTCAATGCTACTTACTGATGCAAGACAGTAGCATCTAACAAATAATATATACATGTCTACTTCATTTACAATTGCTTCAGATTTATTACATATTTAAACATTGAATTTTGGACACATATACTCTATTATCTATCTATCTATTTGTCTCTATATATTTTTGTTATCCGTTCAAGTTGCTGCAAAACGTTCAACAAATCATAATATAAAGAATGCTCTCTGCTTTCGCCATGCAAGCAAACCACATGCGTTTAATACGTTCACGTTTAAAATTGAGTATTTTAACACTTCAGTGTTCATATTTGCAGCACTAACGGTTTTAAAGTACGAAAAACGCGTACAAAGCAAATGTCTATGGCAATTTTGGTAGAGCCTTCACCATCGCCGTCTTGCGCACGGGTCCTTTACTAGCGTCCAGCACCCTCCTTATTGGCGTGGTAGTCTTGGACGGTGGGTTCGACCTTATTGAAGAGCCAGGTCTCCCGATGGCAGCACGCACAGGAAGAGGTTTCTTGGTCGTAGAGCCAACCGGGTTCCTTTGCGCAGAGTATCTCACGGCAGGCAGGTGTGTTGAGGTGATGGCGGAGGACCTTCTTCTGCCTCGCATGTAAGCAGGGTTCTCCGCCAGCGAACCGTCTCCTTCGAGTACCATTCTTCTCGCCGATTCTCTAAAGGCTTGAGAAAACTTTTCGAACACGCTGGCGTCCATCTATGGATGAAGAAAGCAAGTGGGAAGAGTCGATAACAAGAGCAAGAACGACAAAACAACAACAACAACAACAACAACAACAATACAATAACACAGCGTGCGTGCGTGCGTGCGTGCGTGCGTGCGTGCGTGCGGGCGTGGTAGGTGACGTACGTACCCGCTGTAACGGCTGTTGGGATTCGCGCCGTATTGAC